TTTTACTCTTTTCTTGATAAACAAGTTCAGTGTATGGCCCAAGCATAGTAGTAGTAAATTTCAATCCATGATAGAGACAGCTTTCGCACACTTGGAAGCATTATCTGACACAGTTATATCAACCTTATTCAAGCTATTACAGTTTCGCAGACACCGAGTAACAGCTTGAGCTATAACTTCAGCAGTGTGAGGTGGTGGACGCTCACAGTTTTAAATAACATAGCTCTTCAAGACCCATTGTTGGTTTACGAAATGAACAGTTAAACCAAGTCTTGATAATTTACTCTAGGGATACAAATGTCAAAAGTAATGACCACATCACTTATCTAAGAAAGTTGGTCAATGACAACTTTTTTGGATTTTAGTGTACAGTTTTGAGATTAGATTCCCACTCATTTTTTTTTTTCGTTGAAAGCAATTGGTATTAGAATCAAGAGACTCAACCAACATTACAAAGTCAAATTTTGCAACAATTCACAATGGATGCATACTCTTGGCTATGTAGCTAACTAATACTTCTGTTACCTTTTCCTGCTTCGTTTGCTTCTTAGGATACTTTAGTTACTAAAGACTTGTATAATTGGTTGTCTTTTCGGTGATCGTTATTCAGATGGTGAATTTGCTGTACTGTAACTAAGGTTGTGATGATGGTGATGTAAGTATTGTTTTAACAGAATCGACACTGTCATTAGGTGTTCCAGTTAAAGACGTTGTTGCTGGAATTTTAACCATAGCGCTTTGACGCATTCCCCCAAAATACAGCATTATGGAGAAGTGGCAGATGTTTTCACATGTTTGTAGTAGTAGTAGTACCTCTACATTTCAGCACTGCTTCACAATGTATGCACACATATTCATTATGACAGTCTTCCTGATAGCCCAAATGTTCCCTTACAGCTGATTGATTTTTATTTCACAAAATGATCAACGTGTTCACTCCTTTGATCTTCCATTATTAATGATTATTGTTTCTTGTAAACTATCCCTTTGCAACTGGGAAGTTAACGCACGTGATTTCATTTTTATGAACAAATACTGTATAACAGCCTATGATTGCATATAATTTCAAGAATATTGTTACGACAGCGGAAGTCACGTGACCTAGTAACACGTCATGAGCTTCTAGAAAATTCGTGTCCCTTCGTAAAGCCTCGAGTGTTTACTAGATGTGCGGTATTCTTGTATATAAGACCGCCAAGAAGTGACGGCAACAATGTAATTGAATTGTAGACAGAGATAGAGACGGACAATTGAGTCAAGCGCGTGAGTCATTCGTTATAAACTATAGCGTTTGTTTAAGTTATAGCGTGACTGTGGAAATTAAGTGTATTGAAAAGTTGTATTGAGAAAGAATAAACTAGTTTTATTTAAGAAAGGACTTATCTCGCTAAAGCTTCATCGGAAAAAAATTATACGGGAAATTAACTAACGACCAGATACGTAACAATATTCTCGGGTGAGTGTTGTCTGCTGTTACTTTTATATACACCATAATTTAAACTACAAACTTATAACTTTTTTCGCTTGTGAAATATGGTGTGCTTGCATGCCCAATCAGAGTCGAGGAAAGTGTACAAGATTGTAACAGAAAACTAAGATATTTGTTACTAAATAAACTAATTCTACATTAAATATCATTGCCGTTAAAGAAAAGTGTAGCATTGTTACAAAGGGCTGAGATATCTCATCTTAGTACACTCTTATTAAATAAACTATTATTCGTTAAACTTACAGCATAATTATATTTAGATGTCGTATAATAAAACTAGTAAAGATTCTTTGTTTAATTTCTGTAATACGTATTGGTGTATAGAAGACATTTTAATACTACTAATAAACGACCTTTTAAAACCAAATTAATTTTTTAAGTTGACACTCAACGTTTCGCTCTACAGCTTAAGAAGTTAAAGTAGAGAAGTGTAAAAACGTGGAATGAATATGAACGAAATATATATTTTACAAAATTGTTTTTTGTATAAACACCTTGTCTTTCTGGATAATCGCCATCTTAGACTAACCTTTAATCGAACTATTGATAAAGCGACGTCATAAAATAGCGAACTTTTAAAATCATGGTTTCAAGATGTGCTAAAATTAACTCTCTTCGTTTGTTGCTGTTTCACTTATTTTTCTTTCTGTAATGGTGTCAACTCCTTTTTTACTCTCCCATAAAGTATTAGCAAAGCGTCGGGTCCACTACCACCAATAACGCAAATAGTGTAATATTTTATTCTCTTAAAGGGTAAATTCGCTCTTTGCATATTTAAATTTTAGGTCTAATTATCGATGTTTAGGCGCCTGTATTGAGACAGATAGAAACTTTTGATAGTTATAAAATGGTGATTTTTTTTTTCAAATTATGGTACCAAATAAACTGTCGTCATGTTTTTTTTTTGTGTGTGTGTGTGTGTGTGAATTCTTTGTGTATATATATATGTCTAAATCGCATTTGTATGCTATCTGAAACCTGTAATAAATTTCTTTTGCGCAATGTGTTAGTTGTAGAGCATCGATAAATAAATAAAATTATGGAGTGACTATTAAGGCTAATTGCCGTAGATTATATAACGGGTAAACTCGTGCGTCACGTAGAAATGTATTTAAACTTTAGGCCTAATTGTCGATTTTTGTCGCATGTTTTAGTTTGTATTGGGATGTAACGGTTTGCGTTATTTACAAGCTATGGTAAGATAAGGAATAAACTTAATATGTTTCCTGTTATTGAAGTAATTGTCTTTAAGTTATTGTTATAAATGCTGTAGAGTTGCATTCGTATAAACGTAAAAGTGTCACTGTACAATTAGCCAATAGGAATATTGGGTTTCCATATGAGCTAGCACGCATACACTGATGGGCTGACTGAAATACATTGTTCTATTAATTATGTCAATATGTAACAACACTAACTTCTTCATGCTAGCTGCAGTAATGTTTCATTTTTATGAAAATGGTATGAATGATATAAAGTAACTTTTTAAGAGTTAGATCTTTGACACTGTAACCAAATTTTCAATATTTGTTGCATGAAAGAAGAGGCTTCCACTATAATATAGTATTTTAGATTAATCAATGTTGACCATGTAGTCCTATAGTTAAAGTTAAAATAATGCAAATACATTCGGTAAACTGAAATATCATAGTTTTAATTATAATAGCTTTACCTTACAGAGTTTGAAACCCAGTAGGAGATAATAAATAAGAAAATCCAGAGTATAATCAGGTAATGTTATGTTACGTCTCCGTTCGTTAGTTAATTTCCGTAAAAATTCTTCCCGAAAAATTTTACCGATACAAGTCCTTTCTTAAATAAAGCTGGTTTATTCTTTTTGAATACAACTTTGTGATACACTTAATTTCAACAGTCGCTCTATAACAAACGCTATAATTCACAACGAACTTCTCACATGCTTAACAGTATTCTTACTCATTACCTTACGTTGCATCTTGGCTGGTCTTATATATATACAAGACTACCCCAATCTAGTAGTCTCCCGACATTTCATGAAGGTTCGAGAAGGAAGTTGCGTGATACGAGCATCACGTTACCTGCGTTGTCGTAACACTGCCTCTTCCTTAGTATTGCTCGTCCCGAACAATAGCCACTTACATTAAACCAATAACAATAAATTAATGAAATGTACAGAATTACAAACACAAAATTACAATTCAACAAAGTCTCTTAATTTTACGGGACGTATCTTCTTCCGTACTGTTCTCCATCTCGTTGGCTTCGGCTTCACGTGGGGTTCATCTGCTTCATCAGGAAATGTCCTATCGTCGGTAACAGTCACATCAGTGACAGTAACTTCATCAAGAGCTTCACCGTTTCTCTTCTCAAAACCGAGTAGAGTTTCTTCTTCGACAGTGACTTTTTCAGGTGACACGTCTTCAGCAGTGTCATTTGTTCTGTTATTCATTTCGTCCCAACTGAAATGTCCTGGACCGTG